TGAACAACCTGTATACACTACCTAGCCATCCTCCATTCCTGTCTCTTATACACATCACACATACTATTACTATGTCATGTCCTACCTTAACTGGAACAGGCACAGATGGCAATATAGGTGTAGAGGATGTACCTGGTTTGCTGCGACTTTCCTTTTTAGGGGCGTGTACCAGTGGAGGTACAGGTGTTGACTTTCCTGCTGATGCTTGTACTGGTTCAGCTGCCTCTGCTTGGCTTCTCATTTGTTTCAATTTCTCTGCCACTTTACTTTCTAATGCAATATCAAGTATATCCTTGATCCGTTCACATTCTATGAAAGATAAATAAATTCATCAAAGCTTGAGTCACAAATGAGAATCAGGATTTTAAAGTTAAATTGTTTCTTGTCATACCGTCCATGTCCTCTGCCTTTTTCCACACACTACTTATATCAGTAGTTTGAAAAGCAGTCGTCAACACTATTCCATCAGTCGATGGTTCTTCTTCATTAAATCTGTGGAAAGAGCAGTGTAATTACTGCTTGAATTGTTGAATTGTATATGTACATATTGTAGTATTTAAGTGCCATGATTGAGTTGTGGTTACATGGAGGAGTAGATACAAGATAACTTTATTGTCAGAAAGGAAACTACATTTGAATATTACATCGCATGAACAATTTTAAGAAGTCAAACATATAAATATAAAGGAGGTGTTAGATATAAATTACGACATACAGTCTATAGTACAATATATACATCAAAACATGCTGTTGGATGTATGGGTAATGACAATTAAGTACATGCATGTTTGAAACAGTAATATTTACGTGGCATCATACTGTATTTTTTTTAAATATATAGAAAGCAAATAAAATACAAAACTTGTATAAAAAAGTACAGCAATACAGCAACATTTATATTGGAAATCCATTGACAGATACAGCACTTTGGAAACTTACGTTCTTTCAAGCAGAGTGTTTACCAAACAAGTCTTGCCCACCCCCTCTTTGCCTGTCACCATTAATCGAGCATGGTTGACTGTGATCCTTCCTTCTTGTAACTCCTCATTAAAAACCTTCAGAGCCTCACTGCCTCTGGCTAATATTGCCTCTGGAACTTCAAAGCCTAATGTACAAAAGCCATATATTATTGTTTATTCATAAAAGCATAGAAAAATAAAAATAAAAAGATGATGTCTGAACAAAAATATTTTAAGAAGTTAAAATAATTAAGAAAACACAATCCTATGGTAAATGATTCATTATTATAAAATTTCAAATATTATTATAATGGAAATGGATATAGGGAAATAATCATTTATAAAAAATAAGATGGTTTGCTTATTGTCTTAAAAATATTATCATTTCACCGTTATTGTCATAATCATCATCAACAATATTGTATTAAACAAATAATTAAACAAATAATAATAATAACATTTAGAAGTCGAATCTTGATATTCTAGATCAAAATTATTTGGGTGATATGAAATACCGAAGTAGGTACATGGGCTTGATGAATATTTTAACTTTGAATGTTAAATATTTAATTTATTGTAAGTATTTGCTTTCTGTAAAGAACCCCAACTTTAAAAGTTCACTTTTGGTGTGTCCTGTCTCATCTTTGTTTGTGCTGTTCCTTGCTGTTTCTTTTTTGTGACAAATAAAT